GTTAGTTTTCTGGAGCAGAAACCGATGTGTTGCCCGGCACCATTTTCTTCCTGCTCCAGAGTAGCACCAATAGCTGTTGTAGAGGTATCCGTCACCAAGCAAATGTTGGCTGAAGCATCTGGATATCGAAGTAGTGCTGCATTTGCAAGTGCTTTTTAATGTCATCAAAAGTCTTAAGAGATTCTGGGTTCCAGACAATTGGAATTGTATCCTTGCTGCCTTTGGTACTGACTTCCTGTAGTAATTCACCATTCCTAGAAACCTACGTAGTTCCAGAACTGTGGTTGGTTGTGGAAAGTTTAAAATTTTGTCCACTCTGATGACAAGCTTCCATCATTTCTTGCCGTATTATAAGTGGAATATTATTCAGGTCTACATGTGTTACCTGATAGTTTAAATTAGGTTGTCGTGGGAACAAGGTAGTTACTATTTTATTCGATAGTCGTGGGCAAGTTGGTGAAGGCATTGGCTGGTTTTTGAGGCGAGACATTACAATCTTATAAGGCCTTCCCTATGAATTTTCATCGACCTCATCCAGAAGTCCTTTCCAGCATCTAACTTTGCTATCTTTGATAGCTTTATTTAGTTGCCGATGTGCCTGTTTGTATTCCACTACCAGTTGTGCAGAATTCGTGAGACTATATCCTTGCTGAGAGATCCTTTTTTTCTTGTGGCACTCTTTACGAAGAGAGCTGATTTCTTCAGCCCACCAATGCACAGATTGCCTTTGATTTATGCCATGCTTACGAGTCATACTGATATCACAGACATCTGTTATTCTCTCCATCAGCTCTCTAGTATGCTTATCTGAAATTATAGGTTTGCAATTCAAGGCAACTCTCATGGCTCTTCCATCAAAGGATTTTATTTTCCAGCCAATGGCTTTAGATATCTTTACATGTCTTCTAATGTTTCTATTCGTTGATATTTCCTAGGTGATTGCATTGTGGTCATCAGCAGTGTAGATATCTAATACCTTCTAATTGCTCTCTTTTCCTCTGACGAGGCTATTGCTAACAAAAGAAAGGTCTATTATTGAGCTAGCACTGCCCAAAGGTTGGCTTATCACCGCTATTTAGTAAAACATCAAGTACATTAAAGGCCTCTAAAAGTGCTTTACCTCTTGTATTAGCCTTCTTACTTCCTTCCTTAGTCTACCGCACATGTGTTAAAGTCTCCGGTTACCGCTACGGTGTGGTGTCGTTTTGCATCCTCTACTAGACGATCTAAGAAATCAACCAAATCTGGCAAAGAAAGACTAGGGGGAGCGTAACAGCTGTATAAATGATTGCCATCTAATGATGCTAGTACAAATCCAGCATTGCTATTGTTAACGGCGTACTGTCCGTTTTCCATGGCCAATTAGTTAGTTGTTTGTAAGGCTCTGATAAGAGCGCAATATCAATTTGCATATCTCTTACCGTCTGCATAAGCAAGTCGTGTGCAGGCTCACTATAATTTATGATTAGCTGCATTATCGTCATGTTTTAGTGTTTATTATTTTCTCCATAGCCTCCCTATATACAGGACATATGTGAGTGCCGACATGATGTGCTACATTTTCAGAGTTTTCATTTTCAGCGCATAGTGCACATTTTGCTGCATTTTTACAGTTGGATATTTTGAGACCTTCTTGTCCACATCTAATGCATCGATTGATGCGATTCACTTCGCTCTTGCACTGTGATCCATAATGTCCGAATAGCGAGCATTTAAAGTATCGGATTGGTTTTTTGATGGTTTTAATTCGACAGTTGACCCATCTAATTCGCATTTTGCTACTTGCTCTGAGCAGATCGTGTACAATTGCCGCTGGTAGAGCTACAGGAGCAATCTGGGTACCTCTGTATGCCTTACGAATCTTAATTGCTTCTGCTGGTGTGTCGCAGGCTCCTCCGGTTGCTTTTTGTAGTGCACACTGGATATCCATTTTTGAGGTTTCAGCATCAATATCCCTTATTTCTATAGTTTCTTGGTGCCCCTTATAGATAACTTCGGCCTCATCCTTTAACACACATGCAATAATCTGTTATGGTACTTGGCCTTTGTCCGCGCTATTCTTGGAAATGTTTATCAACAAGTCTCAATTTCTGGATTTATTTATTTTGTCTACTATCGTATTTACCTGGTCATCAGAGACATCATGTTTGATACGACATAAGATTTCGAAATAATTAACTTTTTCGGTAGGCCGGATCAATAAGGCATTTGGTTTTGGAAAAATTCTATGATTTTTTATCATTTTATGGTTAGAGATCTGTTCTGACAGATGTATCCTTGCTTCCTTTTTTTCTGTTTCCTCGGCTAAACTTTATGCCAGTCATTTAAGGGGGTTGTTCTTTTTTTCGTTACAAAAAATGCAAGGTATTTGTTTTTGTATTTTTCCGAAATGTATTGATCATAGAGACATGCGGTTTTTTAAAACAAAAATTACAAAATCATAGAATATTAAGAAATTTTATATATTTTTTTTGTCGCCGTCATTTGTTAACCAGGGGGCGCCAAAGTGGGCATTGCAAAATCGATCTCTTTTGCGGTGCCACAGATAAATCCGTTGCGAATCGCCTGAAACAAAAAAAACGAAACTACGTTGAAGAAGAAGTTTGAATCCAGTCCCCCTACCAAAATAAAAGAAAAAAAGCAAGAAGGAAAAAAATGGCAGCTATTTTGAAAAAAAAAGTGTCAAAAAGGGCCTTTTTTTGGGACGAGAAGCTTCGCAAATTTTTTTTGCGTAATGTTATCAAGTTGTTGGTATGGTATAGGTATTGCAGTGGTGAACAAATTAAAAAAAAATGCAAGTCGATCCGACTTGTAGTTTTTTTTTTAATTTGTGGTACCGCATTGAAAAAAGTCAATTTGAGAAAAACGTATTTAAAGTTTTTAATATAATGTACTAAATACACCATTTAATTTAATGTACTAATACACCATGGCGTTCAAAGGTGCTGACACATTAAAAAGGTCATGTGCATGACGTATTATAATGAAAAAGAGAGCAGCTGGCATACAATAGCTCCGGAGCGATGAAAAAAACGGTTTCAGAGGATCATACATATAGAGATATATATATCTATAACTTCGTCAAAAAATTAGATATTGAGATGATTTTTTTTTTAAATAATTCTAAGGTTTTTAGCTTTCATAATAACAAAAAATCTCAAAATCGAAAAAAAAATAAATAAAAAAAGAACAACCCCCTTAACTCGATTTCTTCTTCGTTACATATTTTTATGATCGACTGACGTCTTGACAAAATATTTTTCTCATTAACCTGACTGTTTTTTATATTTTGGGTTTTTTGAGGCCTCACTTGTGCCCTGCCGTAAACTTTCTTCTATAGGGGCTGTTCCACCACTTCGCATTTCATTTATCATTACTTCATCCGTATCATCCGTAATTTGGCCTATTTCTTCTATCAGTTGGTTGTCTAAATCAATAAATCTTTTTATTATAGCCACTATGTTGCATGTTTTTATCTTTACTTCTTTATGTATGATTGACTTCGATTTGACAATCATGTGCAGTGCATTTATGAATTTTTCAAGGACTCATTTTGTTGTAAAATGAATTTTTTCTGACAGTTTAGCGATTGGCTCTACTTTACTATTTACACCGTCGCATGAGCTTTTTTAGCGGGGTTTGGGCTACATCTGATGAACCTGGGCATAGCGCTGTGTTCAAATTATTTGATGTTTGATCGAGCAATGCACTGATTGTATCAACATTGCATTGCTTGACATTGCTTGTTTTAACAAAATTTTACCTGCACTCAGAGGCGACGTTCACTCAGCTCGCTAACTTATAAGTTACTTATTAAAACTGATAGTGTATTTGTGGGTATGTGTTTGTGTGCGCGGATATAAATTTTTGTCGACGATTTCGGGCGCACAAATCAACCGATTTGGTTAAAAAAACATACGATTCCTATTGATAAGAAGACGTGCTGATTAGTTTTTGGTAAAGACAGGTTTAGCCGTTTCGGAGATATGGGGCAATTAGTGGGGTGCATGGCATTGTGCCTTAAGGCAAATTGCTGCAACTTCCTGTACCGTAATTAAAAATCCAACCCAAAAAAATTACACAAAATGTGTACACATTATTAAAATCTCTATAAAATATCTGATAATTTGATGAACTTTTGAAACGTAAAAATATGCATTTCATTTTCAATTTTGTTGCGATTACTATAACTTACCCTACGGGTAGTTAAGAATCGAACAGCGGCCGTGTTTGCGATCTATTTATACTTGTTTGTCTATGGTAAACACGAAATTTAGTACGTAAAATGCGAAATTTGACATGTTGTATCGAATACTCATTTTTAACTCTGAATGTAATTAGGGCGTTGCATAATAATAAACAATTGTAAAGTTTTAATTCAACTAGAAGTGTATGGCATCATGCCTTAAGGCAAATTGTTGAAACTTGCCGTACCGTAATATTCAAAAAAATCAATAATCAATAAATGTTGATCAATGATAAATAACCATTATCTTCTTATATATAAAAATGGATCGCAAAATGTGTTGGTAAGCGCATAACTCAACAACGCCTGAACCAATTTGGCCAATTCTTTTTTTAAAATGTTCGTTGATGTCTAGGGATGGTTCTTACGGCGAGAAAAATTCGAATAATCGTCGGGAAAACCCTAAAAACAGCCCTTTTCTAACTAATACAAATAATCGTAGTCGGCTTCTCGATATTATTTCTTTTGTTTTACTGTCGGCAGGCGATAAAATTGGTATGGCGTTAAAGAATTTGACTTCAAGTCATATAAGATTAAAAAAATCAATGTCAATGTCCATTTGCCGCCCTTGCCGGTGGTATTTTCTTGCATTTTCTGCTATACTCTACTGAGTGTGCTTTTGTTTTGTTTGTAGTGTTTTGTTATCTTCCTATGAATAAAAAGTTATTACAAGTGACACAATATTTTAATATTAATATTATTAATATTAATATTAACCAAGCTAATTACCGATCTAATCGTACTGCACAAGAACATGACGACCGAAATGAACATGAAAAAATTAGGATATGGGCCGCTATGTTAGTGGTAATGAAGCAATTCTCGAATATTTTCTTTTCCAATTCATAAGAGACACCCATCTGTTATTCACTTAGCTGTGCATTTAGAAAATGAGCAAAGGGTGTATTTTACAGCAGAGAACGTAAGTCAAAGAGCTGCTCAGCCACCATCTACTACATTAACATCTACTACATTTGAGATATGTCAAAACGATAATTTTGCACAAACACTGCTATATTCTGAAATGCCAAAATACTATACTTGGAATAAATCTTCAAAGAGATTTATACGACGGAAAAAAGAAAAACCAGTACCAGGATACCCAGATGTATATTCCACCGATGCGATTGGTCGAATTTATTCAGTACATCCAAGCAATAATGAATGTTTTTATTTACGACTGCTATTAGTCAATGTACGTGGCCCAACATTATTCCAACATTTACGAAATGTTGATGGTGAATTGTGTGGATCCTACAGAGAAGCCTGTCAACGTTTACAATTGCTAGGAAATGACGCTCCTTGGGATCAAACTCTCAGTGATGCTGTAATATCTTCACACGCTCATCAAATACGAACATTGTTTTCTATAATCATATTCACATGCTTTCCATCAAACCCAATTGATTTGTGTATCAAGTACAAAGATAACATGTGTGATGATATTTTGTATCAAATACGCAATAGAATGGGAAGTCCAAATATGCAAATCAGTGAAGAAATTTACAACGAAGCGTTGATTTCAATTGAAGACATGTGCTTGATGATGTCAAACAAACTATTAATTTAATTAGTCGTGGCCGCACCCAATCGTCCAATGCATGATTTAACCATTTTTCTTTTAACCAAGAGTTGCACAGAGAAAAACTGTATGATCTCAACAATTTGAAAGAATTAATCGAAACAAATCTTCCACTGTTGAATGAACAACAGAGGTATGTATTTGATACTCTTATGAAAGTAACAAATGATGGAACTGGGGGGATTTACTTCTTAGACGCACCTGGTGGTACAGGAAAAACTTTGATTTCATTAATATTAGCAACAATTTGCTCACAAAATAAATTTGCACTTGCACTCGCTTTATCGGGAATCGCAACTTTGCTCGAAGGTGGTCGAACAGCCCATTCAGCACTAAAATTGCCATTAAATATGCAAAGCAATGAAACTCCAACTTGCAACATCTCGAAGAACTCTGTAATGGCTAAGGTTTTGCAGCAATGTCAATTGACCGTTTGGGATGAATGCACGATGGCACATAAAAAATATTTGGAGGCTTTAGACAAAACCTTAAAAGATCTACGCAGCAATCACCGATTTGGTGGTGCAATGATTTTATTAGCAGGAGATTTTCGTCAAACATTGCCAGGGATTCCACGATCAACGCCAGCTGATGAACTCAACGCATACCTAAAGTCATCCAATCTGTGGAAATATGTCAAAGTACTTCACTTAAGCAAGAATATGCGTGTTGAGTTGCAAATAAGCCAATATGAAAAACATATTCTCTAAACCAGGCATCGGCAACCTACGGCACGCGTGCCAGGCTTGGCACGCGAAGGGGTTCTGAATGGCACTCTATAAAGTAATCAGGAAAATCGCAAAATCGAGTGATTTTTAAATAAGAGAAAATATTTAATTTTAATGATTTTTCTAACGTAGCTCGCTAATGTAATTCAACCTACGTTGAAGTACTTAAAGATGAATTTTCCAGAAGATGCAAAGACTTTGAAGCTTATGTGCCTAATTTCCTTTCTTATAAAACCAGATCCATTATAATACCGTTTGATTTGTTGATTTTCGAATGAGATTAATTTTGATAATTTTGAAATGGAAAATTATCAAACTAATATCTTCAGAATTATGGAGAACAAAATTAAAGGAATACAAAAAAACTGGAGATGACTCTATGGAAAAATCGTCAGCAATTGTGAATATTGATTTAATTGTTGAATGACATTGCCGGAGAAGATTTAATGATTAGTTAAAAAAAATTAGCGTTTTGACTTTCAGCTTTGTCCATTTCCAGCATAATCACATATCTCGTGAACCAATTTTTTCTCACATGTAACATATATTGATTCACAAAGAAATCGTTTAACAACTAAACATTCAGAATCTTGTGTGAAATTAAAAGTTACAAATTAACCCCGGATATTGAAATGTTAAAGAAAAATGTGCAGGCACAAGGTTTGCATTGATGTTGTTTAGTTTATATTCAGTATTCAAATTAAGCTTTCTGCCGCCCTAGGCCCTATCTGATCAGACGCCCTTTTTAATAGACAATCTTTTACTTTTTAATTAAACTATAATTTTATTCTAAATTACTTAAAAATAACTTTTAACTTTGCGTAAAGTATTCGTAAGTTATAGTAATCGCAAAAGATCGAAAATGAAAATTTTTGCATATTTTTACGTTTCAGTCATTTCTAAACATTTTGGCATACCTTAAAAAAAATTGATGTGTGTGTATGTATGTATGTTTCATTCTCATAGATAAGAAAGTTCTGATTAGTTAGCAATTCAGTTTTGAAAGAACCGAGAGGGGTTTTCGAAATAATCAAAAAAAATTTACTTGTACTAAAGAAATGAATAATTACCTAAATTTTTGGGAAGGCAGGTTTAACTGTCGATCAAGCTTTTTTTTTGTAATTAGTAAAAGAGAGAAAAAATTCGTCAAAGTTTTAGCCCACAATTTTAAGTCGATTTTAAAAATTCAAAAACCATTCGAAAAATCTGGTTGGAAATCGTATTCATTAGTTTTTGGTAAATAAAAACCTGCCGGACTGATTAGGTTTGCGGGACGATCGGCCGAGCCAGTTGTTTTAAATTAGCATAAATAAAAAATCAAAAATATTACGTTTTTGGAATGAAGCCAGAAACCGATTTTTAAAATTAAAAAAGATGCCTGAAATATATCAATTAGGAGTCAAAATTTTTACAATTTAAAAATTCATCAAAGTTTGATAAAACTGTAGTCAAAATTTGTGTTAAAAGGCGCATTTGTGATGTGATAAATCAAAATTTAATTTTCAAAAACGCCTGAACTGATTTCACAAATTAAAAAGACATTGGACTAAACTCGATAAATAGAACCGAGATATTCAAAAATTTCGAGTTTTTTCAAATTCTAAAATAATTCGATTATTGAAAATTTTTGATATTAATTTTCTCAAAATTTTGAAAAGTAGAATTGCCTTTTCTGAAAACTAATCATTCTTCATATCACTGAAACACCAACGAACAAAATATTTTGAGTCATTCAATCGAATGATCTGTACTCTCAAAACCTCATGACCACTTTGCACTTTCTGCGCTCTGTATCTCCAAAATGCTAAACTGCCTTTGGCATAAACAGACGCCTCTCAGTAAAAGCCAAGCGATATTTTTTGAATCAGTCATGGCGAAATTGATCCTGCCAAATGGACATTTAAACATCTAAGAAGTAAATTTTGAAAATTAAAATCTTGATACGGAATGATTCAAAATAATGAAGACAAATTTGTAATAATTAATAATTTTTTTATAAAAAAATCTAATAATTGATGGTTCAATGATCATTTATTACCAAGACACCTTTTGGATCCCAAAAACGCTGACCATGCTCTCGCAAAATTTCGATAGTTCTTATTTCGTCATACAAGTAAAAAGTGTCTTGAATATTCAAATCGGAACGCTCCGTTTTTGGAAAATTGAACTAGCATTTTTTTTAACTCTCTTGCTCCCTATTCCGAAAACTGTCTTTTGCAAAAAAATAATCAGCACGTCTTCCCCGAAATTTCGGCATTCGGGACCCGAATGCCAATTGGCAAAAAATTGTAACCGAATAAACACATGCATACATTCATTTTTTCTAAGCATGTCAAAATGTTCAGGAGAGACTTGAAGCGTAGAATATATAAACAATTTTATTTACGATTTTTTAGGATTATTATAACTCAGCCTTCCTAAAGTTGGAAAAAAAAGCCAATTGGAGGAAGCAACCAAATTGTCAGATATTTTAGTTTAAGATTCAATTTATCCTACAGGCAATTTAAAAAAATATGTTTTCACATACCAAAAAAAATGACATAAATTAGTTAACAAACAGTGAATATATTATGTTAATTCGCCATTGTTTGATATAATATCGAAATAAAACTAGAACCATTTGAACAGTTTTTTTAAAGCGTTTTAATTATAGATTCACCTGAACAAATTCAAAAAACGAACTGTTTTCAATATTTCTTCAAAAAAATCTATCAGTTGATAATTATTATATTAAATATGAATACATCAAGAAAATATCATGCGGCACCCAACGAATAAAAATTGATTAGAAAACGCATTACGTTCTATTTCATCGAAAATGATCTCTAAATTTACAAAAAAAAATCAGGAATTTCATCGAGTTTAAAATTTTTACATTTGAAAAATTTTCCGCCCCCTAAATTATGGCCGCCCTAGGCCCGGGCCTATGGGGTAATCCGCACTGTTATATTAGAAATTCATGTATTTGTTAATAAATATGTTAAAAGATACATTTGGTTATAATTCTTCTTCACTAGAACCTAACTATTATTAGGTTGTCAAACTATTCCCTTTCGCTTTTTTGCTCTTGGTTATAATACAAAAAGCGGAAGGGAGATATTTGACACCTTATATTTCAAATTAAGGCGGCACTCTAAATATATTGGTAGAGTGGCTTGGCAACACTACCGTAAAAGCTGAAAACCCCTCTCTAAACACTCATTTAGATTGGTAATGACAATTTTCCTATTGACATGTTGACAGGATGTATTAACTTCCTTATTTTTTGTTATTTACCTCAATCAAAAGAAGAACTCATTTAGAAGGTGTTTCCAGATGTTGCTCAAAATTACAGAAATCATCATTGGTTAAGCGAACGAGCTATATTGGCAGCCAAAAACATTGAGGTAGATGAATTAAATTTCAAAATTCAAGAACAAACTACAGGCGAATCGAAGATATATAAATCAGTTGATTCGGCAACTAACCAAGACGGTGTAGTTAACTCTCCACCGGAATTTTTGAACTCGCTGGATTTGCCCGGATTGCCACCTCACAATCTTCAATTAAAGGTTGTTTCGGTAATAATAGTGTTGCGAAATATCAATCAACCGCGCTTTTGCAATATAATAAACAACGTGATAGAAGCAACTATATTGAAAGGAAGGTATAAAGGAGAAGATGTTCTCATTCCGCGCATCCCGGTGATTCCGACTGATGTGCCATTTTAGTTTAAACGACTACAGTTTCCAGTGCGGCTTGCTTTTGCTACGACCATAAACAAGTCTCAGGGCCAATCATTAGTGTTTGTGGCATTAATTTGGAGAACCCATGTTTCTCACATGGTCAATTGTATGTTGCCTGTTTCCGTATTGGAAAACCATCAGATTTGTTTGTCTATGCGCCAGGCAATCAAACAAAAAACATCGTTTATCACAAAGCACTACAATGAAAATATAACTATTTTTTTCATTGTTAATCATTATCATTATGATTTACATGATTAAAATTGCTTACTTTTGAATGCTTATAGTGATTTATTTAATTATTTTTAATTCACACCACATTAATACCAGGGTGACGGTTCTGTTCTGGATAATTTTTTGCAAAGAATTTAAAAAAGGAAGGAACAAAACACTGCCACATTACAATTTTTTTTGACGGGGCGAAGTCTATCGGGTCAGCTAGTTGTTTATAAAATAGCCTGAGCCTCACAGAGTTTGTTTGTTCACTCCAGTGGACAGCCGTCCCCAAAGTGTTAATCGGATAATCCCTTCTCTCAAAAACTGCACGACTATTTTTGGAATCTTTGCGCTCCGTACCTTTGAAACCGCTAGACCGGTCTTTCGCATAAACTAACCAGGACGGATTGCGGATAGTATGTAGAGTTGTGAACCGGTTTTCAATTTTGGGAAACCGGCGAAGATTCCATAATTTTAAGCAGAATTTCGTTTAAAAATCAATTATCTTATTCGAATTAGAAATTAAAGATAATCATCAAGTCATTCTGTATTGTTAGAGACAGTGATTAAGAAATAATACATTATTACTCGAATTATATATATATATATATATATACTCGTATATATATATATATATATACAGTCATTTGTTTTTTCAGTGAATGTCATTCGATTTTTGTGTAAAGCATAAAGTCTGGAATTCACCCGATATCGATTTAAAATCGTGCTTTTTTAAAAGCAATCGGGTGTAATTCTCCCAAGATATTTAATATCTTGTCAAAATTATAAGGTGAACGTGCCTTCTGCTGACTCCTCTTTCCAAACACCGGATTGGTGTTGCTAATGGTTAGAGGATAAGCCACATTAGCAAGTGAATTTTTCTAAATTTAAATTTTTCTAAGTCTTTAGATTAACTTTATTAAAATCAGTGCTGTGCATATTGAAGAATACAAGAATATTCCCAGGCAGGCGCCGCCTGGGAAGAAATTAAAAATAATGAAAATGGAAGTATAACGAGCGAGACCCTCAAAAACAAATACAATGCGCTATCTGATCGGACTGACATGGACACGGACAGGGAGCTTGAGGAATATAAGAAGGTCAAACGAGCGGAAGAAAGCCAAAACAAGGAGGTCGAGAAAATTGATGTCGGGTCACAGCCATCCACTTCAGGCGTACAGGCAGCACCATCGAAGAAAATAGACATGAAGCAAGAGAAGATTCCGCCTATCATTGTAAAAGCTGAAATAGAGTTGAAAACCATCCGCTATATCCGGGATACAACCAAGATCAATTTCAGGTATTAGTTCCTGAAAAATAATTTACACAAATTTTATACCGATTCAATTACTGACCACGAGCAATTAAAAAGCATATTGCGAGAATGCAATTACCCCTTCTACACCTACTCCTTGAAACAAAATCTGGAAAAAAAAATAACAATTACGGGACTCCATCCATCTATAACTGACACAGAAGTCCGCGAAGAACTGCAGCAGAAAGGAGCTAAAATAAAACAAGTGGTGCAAGTAATACGAAAACAGTCGGACGGTAGTCAACATAAACTACCAATATATATAATTTTAGTCGACAAAGACCAGGATATGGCGGAGCTGAAGCGGATAACCAATATTGGTGGACACATCTTCTCCTGGGAGACCTACAGACCACAGAACAGAGCGTTGCAGTGCAGTGCCACAAATGCTTGAACTTCGGCCATTACATCGTACACCTGCGACCTAAAGTACAGGTGTATAAAGTGCCTTAATGTGCACGCACCAGGTGCGTGCCAGAAACTGCCAACTGAGGCACCGATGTGTGTGAACTGTGGCAACGAACACCCGGCAAACTACTCAAAGTGCAGTGCGCTTCTCAACTACAAAGGAGAAAAAGGAAAGTGATGCTCTCAGGAGAAGACAATATACAGACCAGCACCAACACCAGTGCCGCTGACGAGGAGCTTTTCGTCAGCTTTAAATAACACCAATGTTGGCCCAAATGCAAAATCAGCGTTTCCTCAACTCCCTGTTCCAAGGTCATCATTTCGAAATATGATCCAGTCCTCATCTTTACCGGTTGAGCCTACCATCAACATCACCGATCCGGGCCTGCACCATCATCATCACAGATCCGGCCTGCACTATCGCAATCACAACCCGGCCTGCCTGCAACCAGCCCGATCCAGACCTAAACACCCCGGAAGGACTCTTTGCTGCTATGGGCGAGATCAGGATGCTGTTTGCGGATCCCCAGGTAAAGCAAATTTTCAGTGAGCTATACAAA